TATATATGTTATTTATATTTTGGTTTATAGTATCTGAATCCTATAGTCTGTATGAAGCTATTTTTAATGTTTAAATTTCTTTTTTAATTGTTAATATTCATGTTTTGAATAACTAATTTGAATCATCGTCCGAAATTGCGCCTCTATCAAAGGTGTCTTGATGCTGAAATGCATTGACGGGACTATCAGAAGTATCTTTTTCTTTTACAGCTGGCTTTTCTGTTGAAGGCTAAAAAAAGGACGTTATTTACACCATCATTTGTAGATGAAATAGTTGTTATCAAATGGGATTTTATAAGCTTTATTTTTTACCCAAGGATGCATAAGAACAAATGGTAATTCGGCCGTCAATTCTCCACCGAGAGCTCCCAAGTATAGTTTGACTTTAACAGCATAAGAAACGACGATACCAAATACGTCACTTGGATCGGATGAAGCTAATCTATAATAATTTTTATGATAGAAATGGGTAAGTTTTTCATTAAAGTTTTATATACAATGTAGTTGAAGCTAAAGATGTTTCTTCATCTTTCAGTTGCCCATCTAAAGCTACTCCTCGTCGGTTTTTGTTAAAGATCAGAAGAGGCGTCAAATGGATGATTTTTTGTAGGCTGGAACCTGGATGTATTGGGCAACCTTCCCTACAAGTTCATTAAATCTTGGCTAAATAAGGATATGAGAAATAGAATATAAATTTACTGAGTTTCGATGGTAGCAACGCAAGTTCTGTACTGGCCGTTTTGAAACAATACTACGTCCACACCTTGCTGAACCATCGCTTTAATCTTCTTCACCACCTTGTTGCTGTTGTTTCTTATGCAAACGTTCACCGCAATTTTTTCGCCGTGAAGATATACCTATTTAGAGCGAACAGGTGAGAATAATTTTAATGATAATTTGATCTATTAAATTTTAGATAAAAAGGAGAATTGTTTTGGAAATATAGTTTTCTTTATAGGACTTTGAATTGTATATATAGTAATAATCAATGAATTGATGTTTTCGGTCATAGCGTCACATCGCGAAAAAATTCTTTGTTACCTGTTTGTCTAGAGTAACTTCAAGTTCTAGTTCTCCAGGACTCAACATAAAGTCCTTTCGGACAACGGTACAAGGTTGCCTTCCTTGTTTTGATGGGGCAAATTGTATTTTGCGAATGCCCAGACATACCAAACTGCGTTTATGTGGTCGATCTATTTCACTTTCGCCGACAAACAATTTTATATAGTAATACACCCCACATGGCTTACCTTCTTCGTCAGGTCCTGTAATTGTGTAATCAACTTCATTTTTAAAGACTAATAGAAAAAACAGAAATAATTTGAACATTAAAATGTGCTGTCCATTTTCACTAATATTTTTAAAATATCCGAATATAATTTAAAAATTTTAATTATTTAAATTGATTAATGAATTCAATATACCTTGCTGAATTGTAACAGAAGATGGGGCATTTGGTGGAAGGCGAAAAGTAAACGGAAATGCATTGGGACCTAGTTTTTTTATTAAACGATCTTGAAGTTTCGTAGTATTATATTTTTCTGGTGGTGGATACAACTGCTCAGAGGCTAAATATAAGTCCTTTTGGAAATTGAGACCCATTGTTTCGTCTTGTTCTCTTCCATAACGAAAACTACACACAATCTGACCAAACACCTTGCGGTCTTTATAATCATCATCAATTACAACCACTCCATCTGATATTTTTAAAATTCATCAATCGACTGCTTTTGAAAAAAAAAAAAGTAAAAAACATCGCTTACCAACAGGCTCAATTTCAGATATATGGTCCACAAAATCTCTTTTTCCCAAATAAATTGTGAGTTTACCATTGGGAGAGCATTTTTTGAAAATGCGAAAATTATATACCATTTTATTAGGATATTTTTTTTATAGCAAAAGCTTATACTGTAAACTATTGAATGTTTCACTTTGCAATTTTCTGGTTTTATAAAGGCTCTGGTGACGTGATAATCTTGTTTGAAAGGAGCGAGTAAAATACTTAATCCAATTTTAACTTCTTAATATTATTATGTAACTTTCAGCTTAATTTATTGGCTTATGAAGAAAAACAGGCACGAGTACTTTTAAAGTATTTTATTCAGAGTAAAGTATAACAAAATGTAGTAACTGTAAACTAATCTAACTGAATTGATTTATGTAGTGCTTCTAAGTCACTAATTATTTTTCGAGATATTAAGAACCTATCAACATTTTGATTAGGGTTTGCACATAATTCAATGTTTGCCAAAATTGAATTATGTTTTGAACTTTGATCTGTCGGTGGATGGTGAAGAAGTCCTCCTGCCATCATCGGATATGGTGCATTTGCTGACAGAATTAACTAAAATATTTTTAAAACATATTTATTAATGTCTTATAAATATCTCATTTTCCCCTATCACTCTTTGATCTCGGTCTAAATTATAAAATGATTTGTTATTGTACCTTGCAAACGGCGTAAATATTGTGATCGCTCACTGAATTTTCACATAATTGTTTCTCGGAAAAAGAAAAATCACTATCTTCGTCCCAGTGATCACTTCTGTGAACTGTTAAACCTTCAAGTACACATATAAATATTAAATGTTAGATAAAGTACAGCATTTTCTTTTACTTTTATTAGGTAATTTGGGAACCATTATAACATTTTCTAAGTCTATAAAAGTTATTTTTAATGCGGAATCAACAGCGATATTATCGGGTGAAACATCTGTTAAGTAATATCTGAAATTTTCGTCTCCCTCAGTAAATATCAATGCTGATTCTAGTATCTGAAGGGCCAAATAAGTCCTTTGTGACCAATCCAAATCGGCAAGTTCAGTTAACATTAAACCGTTATAACTTTCTATTATTAGTTTTCCACATGCACCGTAATACTTTGGAACAGGCCATTTAATTTTTTTCTTGTTTAAAATCTATAAACAAAAGCCCACCGTTTTGCATTTTTAAATATTGTAGTTTTATTTATTATTTACATGTAAAATAAGTGGTTCAACATTAATTTGAAGTGTTGTCCAAATACTTATTAGGCGTTCGTTTTCCTTTAGGTTTTGATTAAAATCTGCTAGAGTACTCAAAAATAAATCTGCTCCATATTTTGAACACACTTTGAAGTTCTTTACTACATCAATATCTTCTGTAGTAATTAATTCAACAATTTCTTTATAGTAATCATGCGTGTCCTTAATTATATTAAGCTTACAATTATAAGATAAATTGTTCTTTTTACATATAAAATTGTTAAGATCATTTAGTTCATAATTATGAGCCAATTTTTTTAAAACCACTTTTTGATCACCAATGTAGGCATAGAACACGTTTTTTGCGTTTATACTATTGTAAAGTCTTTCAATTATGGATAATTGTTTATAATTTATCTCGTTTTCTAGTTTATTACAAAAGTCTTTGCCATAGCAGTAAGGGCAATCTTGTAAATTCACTATCACTTGCGACATATGAAAATATAAATATATACTTGAAATAATGAAAAGCAAAGGCATCACTTTCTTCATGCTAAAGTATATAGTGTTACATCTATTTAAAGAAAGGTACAGAACTTATTGGTATATTATTTTATAAATAGGAAAAAATTTTGTTTATATGAAATGGTTAGTGAAGTCGGCGTGAACTTTTAAATCCTTGTTGTAATGCCCTTTGCCTGTATGAGTACAATTCTTTCACCCACTTTTCCATTCGAACTTCTTCATTTAAAAATAACTAAAAATAAATAACAATTTAACATTTAAAAATAGAAATAATGAATTGTAGTAGTGAATACTCACATTGTGATGAAATATGCTGTCTAGTTCAGCTGGTTCAACCTCTGGAACTTTAATTGTCTGTTTTCTTAAATCTATAACAATATTATCTAGGACTTTTTTGTTGCCATCAGAGAAGAATTTTTTTTGAACAAATTTCTCAGAATTGATTTCTTCAATCACTTTAGAATCTACAGCAGGCATGACAGTATCTTCTATTTTAATTTGTTTATCACTATAATTTAACTTTTCGGTTTTTAACTTTTTATGAGCATTTCTTTTATTTGATGAAGTCGAATCACTGTCACTAGAAAAACTGGAACTGGAAGATGTGCTCCTTTTACTGCTTACAAATTCCTTTATATAAGAACGTGACCTAGATCTTCTAGATCTGTTTCTGTCTTTTGATTTTGATCTATAATTTCTATCACGGGAATCACGTGAATGTGAACGTCCTGGTCTGTGCCGCGAATATTCCTTGGGGGAATATTTACTTGATTTTGACTTGTAGGATTTGTGTCTTGATGAACTCCTACTACGTCTTAAAAGAGAAATATTAATATATAAAATACAAATTTTAGAAATGTTTACCTTGATTTTGAATATCTTTCTCTACTTTGGCTTCTAGACGAATATCTTGACCTCCTATGAGTCCGTTTACTTCTCGGTTCACTGTCAGATGAACTAGATCTAATAATTTTTCATTCAGAAGTATTGTACTTGATGTAGATATCGAACATGGAATTTTGCTTTACATTTATGACAATCTTACCTGTGACGACTACCTTTGTGAGATCTTTTAGAGCTTCTTTTCTCATGGTCTGAGTCGCTTGAATACTTACCCATTTCTAATTATTTGACTTTTTACCTGGCAAAAATAAAGAAGTTCAAATAGGTAACCAATGTTTCTGCTAATTTCTTAGCAATAATAAACGAATCCAACTAAAATCCGCCGTCGAAATATTAACTAATTTTAACTCAGTTATTTTGTATAAAAGAAATAAATGAAATGTATTTCAATATTGCTAATAAAATCGTTCATAAATTAAAAAGTAACCTCAACTCAACGAACCGTTTGACATTGACAAGTGTTGACAAGTTACTTCACATTGCCATAGATACTAGAGTTCACTCGACTCAAGAAGGTACATTCAAGAAGACTTAATCGACTAAACTTAGACCGTTTTAGTTCATTTATTTGTTTCTTAACAATGAGGGTGACAGCCGTTATAACTTATAAGCATAAATTATTGCCTTTTACACTTCGTGGTAACGTTTAACTACTTTGCATTTTATTTAAAAGTTATGATACATCCACTACAATAAGTCTCTGTTCACCGTGTATAAGATCTGCAAATAGAACGAATCTATAGATTTGCGCAGTGGATTGTTTTATGTTTCATGACTCTGTGAGTGCCACACCAGTTTAGTCAATTTGGTCAAGCCGTTATTGTGTTGAGCACTATTCAGCGCTGAGGTGTCAGTTATTTGTTTTGGTAAAGTAAAAAGTGTCAAATACATATCGATTAGAATATAAATTTCACAAGAGGAAGAGAAAATTCGTTTACCAAGATGACAATTATAACAAAACCACTTTCCGAGAAAAAACCAACTGATAAATTAGAAGTTCCGCTAGTTACAAATGAAACACTAGATGCAGTAAGTACAGAATACACCCTTGACTTTGATAAATGGCTTCTGCGTATTTTGTCTTTACGTATCTAGGATTAATGTAATTTTTTGTTAATATTACTTGGTTAATCTTTCTCAAATGCTTATTTTTTATACTAATTGGTTGAATTGTAATCCTTTGTTACTGAAGTAATAATATTCAACTTTAAACAAAAAGTTATAAATTTGTACAAGCTATAGACAAAATCTACAATATAAACAACGTTTGAAAGTAGTAGTAGCTACTGTGTAGAAATAATATCTATTACTTCATTATTTTTTAAAGCATAAATTTTTAAACATAAATATACATAATTGTGTATTGAGATCATGAATTTCATGTCTCGAACATTCACAAGGAAGTAATGATGTATCCATAATGATATAACTTTTGTTAAAATCATAATTTCATTTAGGTATGTGGATATGAAATAGTCCATCAAATACTCGTGTTCCAGCAATTAATATTTTATAACTATGTATTTAAAAGTAGGTGTAGGTTTGTTTTAAGATAATAAAATTGTTTATAGAAAATTTATTAATGCGTCCCAAACTTTTAACTATACAGAGTCTTCTTAAATATATTTTGTAATATATAAAGTCCAGATCTTGGTTGTGCAAGATTATTACCCTTAGTCATGTAAAATGTCTTGTTATTATTTATGGTCATGTTCATTATGACCTACTGTTTTGAAAACAGTATCATATAACAGCCAATGCAATAGAAATAGATTTACTCAATTCTCATAAGTGATACTGATAAGCAATATCTCATATATACCTATACGGTATTTAATTTTCTAGAATTTGTAAAATAAGCAATACTTACCTATATCAATTTTTCATAAAAAAATGTAATAAAGAATCTCAGTGTTTGGTATTTGATTTAATTTTAAAAGGTTTAACATATTGTATTTTTAAAGTAATATAAATATAGTCTTATAACTATTCATTTAGACAAAGAAAGTGATATACTAATTGTGAACTTTAATAAATTTTATTTCACATGAAAATGTTGGACAATTTTCAAAGAAACTAAAGTTAGGTGAAACGATTTTTGAATTTTATAATTGCTTATAGAATGTCATTTTCTGTATTCATTATGAATTTTAATCAAATAACACTAAACTTTTAGTTTATATTGTATTCAATTGATTTGTACCTTCCATTTGTATGCCTTTTTTTTTTTTAGTTTAATAAATAATAACCGTATTTATTATATCAGTTATCTAGTTTGTTAATATCTGAAAGTACGTCTTAAAATCGTATAAAATGTTAACTAAATGTTTGCGTTTCTGTTAGTTTAAATTCCTTCATGTACAGTTCAAAAGTTTAATAATTATTGCAAAATATTATACATTCCTTGTAACTAGAGATTAATGATTTATGATCAGTGTATTTTTATATTCAACAACTGTTGAATCAGTAAGATATCTAATTTCATATGCACGTCTGAAATATTGTTTTTAGTAGTATTATTAGATTGTTCACGTTATGTTTTACAAATTAAAGAATAATGTTATTTTCTAAAAGAGTACCTACTTTTAGGCGTTTATTTCCAAAACTTATTACTTTATTGTAAGTCTAAAAAACTAATATATTTTATTGTTAGTATATAACTACATAAGATTATTTGTAATGTGATTCAATTGCATGTGACTGTTTGAGTAGTTAATTGCTTCAACAAATCAAACTTTCTAGATGCATTTCGTGCAATTAGTTAGGCATTTACTATTTTTTTGTGCAAATATCTTTCCCAAGCCACTTATCGTCAAAAATATCAACAATAGCATTTGTTTATAAAAGGCAAAATACAGAACTTATCAGTGAAAATATGTAGATGAAGATAGTGTGAACATATTCGTCTGAATGTTGAATTTATAAGATTAGTTGCAAAGGAAACAAAGAAGCCTTTCAGTGTACTTTTTTTTTTAATATAAATCGCTTTAATACCTAATGTTAAATGCATCTATTGTACGTTGCTATTGTGGCCATTAAACAAAAAACAATTATTGTATCAAAATAGTAGTGTGTTGTCGGAATGAAATTGTTATGTACACTTATGTAATAGGTATACGGATGCATAAACTATTATATGACGTATGTATATACAAGCGTTATTAATTGTCGCATCAATTCTGACGAAACAAAAAACAGGAACGCTTTGCGTATGCAAAATTCTACTCTCGCTTTTAAAACGATCGATTAATTTTTTAAATTGAGATATTATGGGCGCCCGTAGAATATCTGCAGTGAAGATAATTTAAAGTTCCGAAGAAAGAAAACAAAAACGTTCCATACAAATTTTGTCACCTTTTTCCACTTCCTAAAGGGTTGAATTTCGGAATATCATTTCTTGTTTCATATATCATCAAAAAGCAAACCTGTGGGCATAATATCAGCTATCAAGGACCAGGGGTTTAGCTTGATTATTATTATGTTCAGGATTAGTTGTTTAACGTTTAGTTATATAAATTATTGCCCATATTGAATATCTAACTTTTAAGTAAACCCTGAACTTTTTAAGTTTAAAATTTTGTATTAAAATATAGATTATGCGTAACTATTGAGATTTTTATTTTACAGCCACAAGGCGAGGATGTAGAGGCGGGATCTGAGACTGCCGAAAGTCGACGACGTTTCGTCATTCTTCATGCTCGTGCACGTCGTGTTTCCACCACTACCACCCTGCTCTTGTCGCTCACAGCTTTAACAGTCGTCGGTGTTGGCATTATTGGAGGTACCTACCTGTATCGTCAATTTTTGCGCTCACAACTACATTTCCGTGGTTGGTGTAACATCCCCTACAATTCCGATGGGACAGGTCATACTGCCATGATCGTTAGTCCCGATGGGGGTGATAACGAACTTAGCGACTCTGATCTATTTAGAACATTCAGACATGCCAACAACGGCCCTCCTTCTCCTGACAACAACTTGAACGAATATTTCCAGGTAAAATAATTATTTCAATTAGATAGATTAAAAAGGAGGAAAATAAACTAGAAGAAAAGTTTTTAATGTCATTTCTGTTAACTGAGCCTATCATTTGTGACGTGCGATAGAAACCAAGCAGATCCATTTATGTTCTAATTCATGTTTTGTTTTGTTAAACCTCAGGAATCGTTTGAGTTGGATTTGGACGATGATGTGTATGAAAAAATCGATGTGCCAGACTTTCGAGAAGGACGCAGTGGCCGTTTCATCCATGATTTTAATACCAATTTAACCGGTATCGTCGATCTGACCGGTAAACGCTGTTTCGTTATGCCTCTGAACAGGGATATGGTGTTGCCGCCCAGATCTCTTTTTGATTTGATTCAAAAGATGTGGGACGGATACTACAAGGTCGACACCCAGGTTGTCCGAGAGACAATGAGAGTTGTTATTCCACCCATGAATGATGACGATAAAAAAGCGATCGGTTCTTACATATCTAAGGAATGCGAGGGAGTTCCGGTTTACAAGCTGGAGAAATATGTTGGAGGAGGTATGTTTACATCCTTTTGAATTTTTATTTTAAAACTCCCCAAAATAGATTTAAAAGATTAGATTTCTAGGGTTTCGCAGCCAAACGACAAATGCGACTCTTAAGATTTCCTTATGTCTGTTTGGTTGTTTATTAATTTTCTGGGTAAATGATTATTTTTATGAACTTATTAGAAATATCCTTAATTGTAGGCAAAAATGTGTAGTGTGTGTATAATGAATTGCATACTTTAATGTAATTCAGGCGCAAAATGGTAAAATCAATTTATATCAATCAAAGTTTAATATTAAACGGCTTATAAAGCAAATTCTATTATATCATTACCGTGTTTGTTTTCAGTATTTGTGTTTACATTAATTATGTAAGCTATTTGATTATTATTATTATTATAAGTATAAAAGGGTTTCTTCCTACGTACATATCGAAATTAAATATTATTTCCTGCTTTTTGATTTATTTGTTGAAACTTATTTGTGTACATTTTATTTTAAAGTTGTTCTCCAGGTTATCTAAGACAAAAAAATGCATAAATGTGATTGTATTAATAATTATTTCCCCTTTTTAGCAAATGGCTTCAAGCTCTGCTATGTGTGCAACTCTGCCCTTGTAATGAATCCTATGTTTTTCGAAATTTACGCCTCTTCGCCTGTTAAACAGTTGTAAAAAAAATAAATTTATGTTGCCCTTTACATTTTCACGTTATTTTAATGTGTTTGTTTAGATTATCATTTGATTTTATTTTACAAAATAATATTATTTTATTATTGCAGTTGTAAAAAGATCAGCGGATCTGCCAAATGACGCCAAATTTGCTCAGTTTTCGGGCAGAGGTATTGTTGAGTTTGACATTGTCAACTTTGAGGAAGCCATGAACTCGCTGGAGAAGATCACGAACTAGACCGTTCAGGTTTGTAAATCTTCAATTTATGTTTGGAGTTCCCTAATAATTTTAGTCAATCTTCAATTTTATCAATACAGTAATATATAAACAGGGGTATATAGACCGAATTTAAGCAGAGGTAAGGTTTAACCATTACTGAATATGTGTGGAGGCCCTAAAGTTTCTATCGTGTAGAAACGTAAGTGTAGGTCTTAAGAATGGAATTCATATTATTGTAGTTGTAACTTTTAATAATCATTTTCTTTTTCTTGTTGGTTCTGGGGCCATGCAATTTACTATCAGTCAACAAAAAATGTACCAAAGATATAGAAAAAAAAAATCTTTTTCAAAATTAGAACATCTCTCTGATAGTGCATAAGGAGTTTACTAATTATTTAAAATTATCGTTTATTGGTACCAGAACCAAATTTTTAGCAATTAGAAGTTGCGTATATGTATGTATGTATCCCAAATTAAAGTACCTATATAAAGTAAGTAGTTGTTTGAAATTAAACATAAATGTGAAATTTTGTATACAGTAAGAAGCAGTGTTGCTGTTTGTTGTTCAAATCTTGGAATTTCTGTTATTTTTCTTTCTTTAGAACTTTGCTAATTATTTTGTGAGGCCATATATACGTATAAAAGTATTTTTGATTGATTAATGTACCCAGTAAGTACATTTATGATATTTTGTTGTTTAAATAACTCATACTATATTATATGAAATGAAGTTAAGTGAATAAATGGTTTACTTTTTTTGGGAGTTTCATGTATGTATCTTTAATACGAAACAAGGTTTATTAGAAAAAAAAAAATTTATTAGAATTTAAGTATAAACAAATAATGATCATACTTATGCTAAATCGCTAAAAAATTCGCCTACATTTGTTTTGCTAGAAGAAGGTAAATTATGTTGCATTTCTTTTTTAGTTTGGTGTTTGTTATGTTTATGACTGATTTTTTCAAAGTTTTCAAAAAATTTTATATTCCAAAATTTAATATCATTGTCGGCACTGCACGATGCAAGGAATCGTCCATCGTTACAAATATCAATATGTTCAACTGACATCTCATGCTGTCCAACAATTCCTATGTGACGGTGTGGAAAAAGATGAACAGCTCTTAGATTTCCGTCTTCACATGCAGTAACCACTATATTCTCTGTAATAGGCACGAAACTGCTTATTGACGACTTTGTTGCTGGGAATTCATCACTGTGCATGCCAAACTCTCTCATATTAAAAATAAACAATTTTCCTTTATTTGAACTTGATACCAGTTTGGTTTCATGCCTAACTGTTCCTAAGCATGTTAGTTCTTCTTCATATTCAACTGATTGCATTAAGAATTTGCTAAAAATGTTTGATGGTGTGTTATGGACTTAAATTTTATATTTGATACTTACTTATTACACAAGTCTATAGTAGTTAATGAACCATCTCCACTTGAACAACACAAATATTTATTTTGATCGACTGGTATAATGTCGCTTATATAATCATCATTTTTTTTTACTGATAGGAGAGGTGTTGGTTGCCGGTAATCCCAAATATTAATAATACCATTGTCATCTCCTGTTAAAAAGGCGTTCTATTAGCATAAGTAACTGCAGTTTGTAATTTCAACAACTTACCTGTAGCAAAAGTGTTTTGGCCTATTATTGATAAACAGTATATTGGATTCTGGTGAGCCTTTTCAAAGAATGTCTTCAATTTCCTAGTCTCCATATCTGTTAACATAATAGACATGTCTTTTGAAGCTGTAAACATTGTTTTTCCATCAGTACTAAATTCAACATCTCTGCATGCCTTTGTATGTAACTCTACAGTATCTAATAATGTATTTTCTTCATTACTATACTTATACAAAATTACATCTCCAACAATATTTGCGATAGCTAAAATATCTTCATTTGGATGAAAACAAATGTCTGCAACAAAATCTTCTACTTTAATGCAAGGCGGTTTATCGCGAGGTTTTTGATTTTCTTTTATTATTGCTTTTATAACTTCATCTTCTTCATTACTTTCATTTTCGTTCTGATTTGAGTCCTGCTGGTTGTTAACAGAATAAACCGATTTCACAGAATCGTCGTCAGAATCATCTGAGGATAAGCTAATATCAAAATCACTGTCATCAGAATCAGATGCTGTCGAAGTCTTCTCAGTCATTCCTATACTTTTTTTATTTAAGCCCATATCTTAAAAATAAACAATTTGACTTTTGTTAATTGTTAAAGGTTATGTTCATAGGTTCACTGGTTATGTTTATAGTTTAGCTTGATTTTTAGGTATATTTTACTTTACCGTTAACTTGGTACCTACTGATAAAGTTTTGTGTAGTTATCTATGGTGTACTTTTGTAACCACTTTCATTCACATTATATGATCATAATTAGTTGACATTTGTGGTACAAAGTTATTAATTTTGTAATTTTTATTTAGTTTTACTTAAAATAGCCGATACAGTTAACAAAACGTATTTTGCTTGCATTGTTTTGTTATCATACAGTAGGAAATATGACAATGGGCGATGAGACTCCAGTTACATCTTTAATTTTACCTGTTTTAATTCGTCCTATTTTATCACAGGTAATTACCATTTACATTATGTATATACTTGCTATTCTTTTAAGCATGTGTATATAAATTTGATGGTATTTTAGTTGGAACGAAAAGACGTTTCTGCGTCCCAAACCCTTCGATCGGCAATTTCAAAGGCAGAAACTGCATATCCAGGTTTAACCTATGATCTTGTGGTAGGAATAATGAGACGAGGCGAGATAAATGTTAATATGAATGAAAGCATATTAAGGCTGCAGGGAGCTGTTTCAGATACAGAAAGTAATTTGTTTAAACATCATAAATTGCCATACAAACAAATATGTTTTTAGTTGTCGAATATCGATTGAACAGATCAGAAGATGCATTTCAAGAGTTGAATAAAAAATCAGCTGCTCTTAAGAAAATTCTTAGTCGAATTCCAGATGAAATTACAGACCGCAAAACATTCCTAGAAACCATAAAGTAAATGTTTTCTCTATTTTAGTGATTTCCCTTTGAACTAACACATATTATTTTAGGGAGATAGCAAGTGCCATAAAAAAGTTATTAGATGCTGTTAATGAAGTTAGTGGTTTCATTCCAGGAACAACTGGAAAACAAGCCTTGGAACAAAGAAAAAGGGAATTTGTAAAATATTCAAAAAGGTTCAGCAATACCTTGAAAGAATATTTTAAGGAAGGGCAGTAAGTATTAGTATTATATTAGTTTTACTCAGAGTTTATGTAGGATTAGTAATAGTACCACAATGCTCAATGAGGCAAGCCAAAAGCTTTGCCAATAACAAGATCAAAAAATAAGGCCCAAAGTGTAGAAAATGCTGTTGCATCCTCTGTAGATTTATGTAAAAAGTAAACTGTTGCTATGGTATTTTACTTAAAATTTTCATTAATCTTTTGCATATATTTGAACAAGATTTAAAATAATCAAAGCTGCAGTGTAATTCTTAAATTAATATGCGTTTTTCTCATTCATTGTGGAACAACAACTTTTTTAAAATGATTTTAGCAAAAGAAAAAAAGATTTTCAGGTATAACATTTTACTGTATACTTTCCACAAACGTTTTTTAAATTGAATTAATTGCATTAATTTATGTTATATCTGTTGTTCTTTCAAATGAATAAAAATATTTAATATTGTTATATAAGTATATGTAGTGTTCTTTTTGCCATTCTAGGAAGTAAAGTGTGTTGCATAACGTATTGGCGTAGTATATGCTGTCTAGTTCAGCTGGTTCAACCTCTGGAACTTTAATTGTCTGTTTTCTTAAATCTATAACAATATTATCTAGGACTTTTTTGTTGCCATCAGAGAAGAATTTTTTTTGAACAAATTTCTCAGAATTGATTTCTTCAATCACTTTAGAATCTACAGCAGGCATGACAGTATCTTCTATTTTAATTTGTTTATCACTATAATTTAACTTTTCGGTTTTTAACTTTTTATGAGCATTTCTTTTATTTGATGAAGTCGAATCACTGTCACTAGAAAAACTGGAACTGGAAGATGTGCTCCTTTTACTGCTTACAAATTCCTTTATATAAGAACGTGACCTAGATCTTCTAGATCTGTTTCTGTCTTTTGATTTTGATCTATAATTTCTATCACGGGAATCACGTGAATGTGAACGTCCTGGTCTGTGCCGCGAATATTCCTTGGGGGAATATTTACTTGATTTTGACTTGTAGGATTTGTGTCTTGATGAACTCCTACTACGTCTTAAAAGAGAAATATTNATTACAGTTTTATTTTGAATTATTTATGTTTCTTGTAGGTATAAACTTATTTGTTTTCAATTTTGGGCAAAGAGAGTTGATTTTGCCACATTGCTTATTTTATACTTATCTGTTTTGTACTTGTTAATGCACAAACTAGAAGGATAATAAAAGTATTATGAGATGGTCTAGTGCAACAAAAAAAAAAGATAAAACTTAATGCTGTATTAGATTAAGACTTTTGTAAATGTTTTTTTCTCATTGAGAACTGCTAATCAGTAAACTTATTTTTTTTAATCCAACAGTGTATTTTATTTATTAACACTATAAAGAAAACACATTTGTTAATATCTAACACTTTTAAAGATAAAATTGTTCTTTTGAAAGGCATTTCAACCAAAACATACGTACATCTGTAACAAATATTATTACAGTTTTGTATAATGAACTACTTTTAAAAACAATAATTTTCAGGGTGGCCCATAATGAATAAGACAAAGCAATACAGGATGTTGGCAGTTTAGCATTAAAGAGAGTGGCTTTAAGTAATGAAGTAATGAAAACAAAAGAATTTCTATAAATAATTAAGCTGGTAACACAGTTATTACAATTACCGTTTTTCTTAGCCCAGTTACCTGTGTCTAGGGGCTTTTAGGGATCATATTTAAAAATAATTGCTGATTTTTGTTTGCCACCTTAATTACTTGACATAATAATTTAAAATTCGTAGTAGGTTTCACATAACTGAAAAAAATTAATTGTTTCAGAGTTGCCACAAATCACCCTGTATATACGTAGTAAACAAACGTATAGTGCTATGCGCATGCTTGACATTCCCTTTCCCTAGTCACGTTGAAATTTCACGTGTGGTTGTTGGTTTTTTTTCTTCAGTCTTCAGTCGCATGCGGTTAACCACTTTCATTCACATTATATGATCATAATTAGTTGACATTTGTGGTACAAAGTTATTAATTTTGTAATTTTTATTTAGTTTTACTTAAAATAGCCGATACAGTTAACAAAACGTATTTTGCTTGCATTGTTTTGTTATCATACAGTAGGAAATATGACAATGGGCGATGAGACTCCAGTTACATCTTTAATTTTACCTGTTTTAATTCGTCCTATTTTATCACAGGTAATTACCATTTACATTATGTATATACTTGCTATTCTTTTAAGCATGTGTATATAAATTTGATGGTATTTTAGTTGGAACGAAAAGACGTTTCTGCGTCCCAAACCCTTCGATCGGCAATTTCAAAGGCAGAAACTGCATATCCAGGTTTAACCTATGATCTTGTGGTAGGAATAATGAGACGAGGCGAGATAAATGTTAATATGAATGAAAGCATATTAAGGCTGCAGGGAGCTGTTTCAGATACAGAAAGTAATTTGTTTAAACATCATAAATTGCCATACAAACAAATATGTTTTTAGTTGTCGAATATCGATTGAACAGATCAGAAGATGCATTTCAAGAGTTGAATAAAAAATCAGCTGCTCTTAAGAAAATTCTTAGTCGAATTCCAGATGAAATTACAGACCGCAAAACATTCCTAGAAACCATAAAGTAAATGTTTTCTCTATTTTAGTGATTTCCCTTTGAACTAACACATATTATTTTAGGGAGATAGCAAGTGCCATAAAAAAGTTATTAGATGCTGTTAATGAAGTTAGTGGTTTCATTCCAGGAACAACTGGAAAACAAGCCTTGGAACAAAGAAAAAGGGAATTTGTAAAATATTCAAAAAGGTTCAGCAATACCTTGAAAGAATATTTTAAGGAAGGGCAGTAAGTATTAGTATTATATTAGTTTTACTCAGAGTTTATGTAGGATTAGTAATAGTACCACAATGCTCAATGAGGCAAGCCAAAAGCTTTGCCAATAACAAGATCAAAAAATAAGGCCCAAAGTGTAGAAAATGCTGTTGCATCCTCTGTAGATTTATGTAAAAAGTAAACTGTTGCTATGGTATTTTACTTAAAATTTTCATTAATCTTTTGCATATATTTGAACAAGATTTAAAATAATCAAAGCTGCAGTGTAATTCTTAAATTAATATGCGTTTTTCTCATTCATTGTGGAACAACAACTTTTTTAAAATGATTTTAGCAAAAGAAAAAAAGATTTTCAGGTATAACATTTTACTGTATACTTTCCACAAACGTTTTTTAAATTGAATTAATTGCATTAATTTATGTTATATCTGTTGTTCTTTCAAATGAATAAAAATATTTAATATTGTTATATAAGTATATGTAGTGTTCTTTTTGCCATTCTAGGAAGTAAAGTGTGTTGCATAACGTATTGGCGTAGTCTAGTGTACATGTTTTTGATACAATTTCTCTTATTTTATAGGGCTAATGCAGTTTTTATTAGTGCATTATACCTAATCCATCAAACAAACATGATTATTGCCACCGTCAAGAGTAAATGTGAATAAGGTATAGTATTAGTTAAGTAGCATTATTAATGTAAAAAAAGGGTTATATGGAGATTAAAATATACATATATATTTTAAAAAACATCCTACACAAAGTCAGAAAAATAAGTGCATTAAAA